TGAAGCGAAAAGAAACAAAAAAAAGGACAATAGAAACTGCGTGACTAAAGTTATCGCAGGTACTGTAATGGCTACAACTACTGTAATCACTGTAGATACGTGCACTCTGCAGTTTCTGAAGTTGTTGATTCTTTTGCAAATACTTCCGTCACCGAAATCGCTGCAATGTGTTCAGATGGAAACATAATGCACTTCATTAAATGCTGGTATTGCTGAATGGTACATAGAGGTTAGTGCCACATACAAAATACCACACATGCTCATTCCCAAATCATGAATTCATGGTGGCGGCCAGAAAAGGTTTTATGTATATGCAGAGAGAGAGAGAGAGAAATAGGGGTAGAGAGGGAGAGAGTGGGAGGAAGGAAGGAAGGAGCACCACAAATCCAAAACAGAGACAGCGAGAGATAGAGAAAGAGAGGGCGACAAAAGCTGAGAGGGAGAGGGAGAGAGATGCTCAAGTTGCCTATTTTCCACTTGGCTTCAGGCTTCTCGGTGCCCACTCCAAAGCGCTTAACACACAAGAATGCTCGACGCAGCTCCGCGATTTCTATGAGTTCATGCTTTGGGGCAAAATGTGCGAAGCCAGAACCTCCTCCTGACCCCCCCTACCCAAGCCTCTAAAAGCTTTTTAAGCTACTGGACTCGAGTCTCGCCAGACTGCAGGTCGTAGCCTCTAAATCCTAAACCCTGAACCCCAAGCCCGCCTCCTGCATCCACAGCGAACCAATGCGGCTGCGGGCAAGAATCATTGGCAGCTCCTTGTGCGCCCTTGCGAGAACGCACAAGGCCCGGCCTTCCGGACGGAGGAACTTGCGTGAAACTCAAGGAATACTAGTATATATATATATATACATATATATAAAATCTAGACACGCGCACACACACACACACATATATATATATATATATCTATATGTGCAGCACATATGGCTATAGAACACGTATGTATACTGTAATAATGTGCTGCGTAGGCATAAACAGGGCTTTCACATTTTCATACACTGTGTAGTGGTTGTTGGTTCAGGTTGATCTAAACTCATTTGCAAACACCATCGCGGAACATTCGCGGAGGCAGTAGCTCAGGCATCTTTGACATCTCAAAGTTCTCCAAGGGCTCATCAAAAGGATTCCTCAAAATTTATCGAGGGCGCAGACCTATTGGGGCCTCTGAAAGTGCTCCTCAGCAGTCTTGAGCCCTTTTATCTCGAACGCTGGGATTGACAATGAAACTTCTGCAACACATACAAGCCGCTTACAAGCCTCTTCTGTCGCTTCCATCTACGGACCTCTATGAAAATACAATTTGCTCGGATGCCTACTTTCACGACTGGAACCGAACCCCACCATCCTCAACCGCAAGCTTTCTACTTCAAGACCAGCTCTACAAGCTTTCATGGCAGAGCTTATCATCCTCAAACCCTCCAAGGGTTCTTTGTTCAAGAGAGCCCAAAGACACTTTGTGGCCTGCCAAAGCGTGGAAGTCGCCTTGGCCCAGTTGCTGCAGCCATAATACTGCAAACTCCTCCATGGCCTTCAGGGCAGAAGAATCTCGCGTCAAGCGACGTCTTTATAAGAGTGTCTACGATGCTTGCCAGTATTGCCAGGTTTTCAAGGTACCAGTAATGTGAGTTTAATGGCGCCTTCTGGTCCCTTGCTGACCTTAAAGTTTGAGTATAAGGGATCCTTTAAGGGATCCTATAAAGGGTTCCTAGAAGGGTTCTACAATAGGATTTAGGGTTTCGGGTTTCGTCAAGGTATACGACACCGAACCTCTGATGCACATGTTTCTGCCATTGTCTTCCAGAAAATGTGAGACAAAGCTCGACGCTCTGGCCACCTGCAACTATGAAAACATAAAACTCAATCTACTTCAGGACGATTCTCAACATGTCTCAAGTGATGTGCTCAGGCGATCAGGGCTACGCGGCACTTCGAACTCCGCAAGGCCTTCAAGAGGACTGCGTGCTGGAAGGCGGGCCCAAGACGTAAGACTGCACCCCGCACCCGCCGTGCCGCCACATTGGCTGAGGAACCTGACGGAGTGCGGGGTCAGGGGGCCTATCTGCTTCGATTAAATCAAGGAGGACATGACAGCACCGTATATCACCCAAGCAACCGAACTCAAAAGCGTATTCGAGCTGTTCATCGTTACCCCGAAAGATCTATAACGGCACAGACGAGGAACATGTTCAGAAACGACATCATTTCTAGGGTGATGTTTGCGCTCACACTCGGTGAAAACACGTATACATATGTCAAAAAACTTCACACCGATAGTTCGGCGTACATGTACCCAGATACATACTTACATACATCCATACATCCTTACATACATACATTCCTGCCTGCCTGGATGGATGGATGGATGCATGCATACATGCGTACATGCACACATGCGCGAAGTGGCAGAGCTGCAGACTTATCATCAGAGTTTAAGGTTAAACTGCTTCTTCGAACAACTGTATATACAACTTGGAACTACTACGTACATGTACGTACCCGACACACGGTCCTGAAACGTTTGCTTGAGTACAGTCAAAGCCTGAAAACTAAGTTTTGAAACGTTTGTTGAAGACCAGACTGTCGGGGGGAGGGAAAGGGGAGGATAGAAAGATGGGGAGGAGGGGTCTGTTTCTCTGGGATGCCTAGCCTTAAGCTGCTGTCTAAACAGAAACTGCTGCGTTGCATCCGACATGCTTGACAATTTAACTACAATGTACATGTGGCCACTATTGGCCACTAGTGGTTCAAGTCATTATTTTTGCCAAGCGTAGGAAAGCACGCCATAGTCTGCTGCACCTTAGTGAGCGACCTGTCCGAGTGATCGGGGCGTGGGGGGCCCTTTGGGGACACACGGGAGTTTCCGAAAATTAGGGGTACCGTATTTTGTGGTCCTTATAATAAGGATCCTACTATTTCGGGTACCATACTGGTACTATATTTTACTCCCGTACTGTACTTTCGAAAACTCCCATAGAACCTGTGTCAGTCTTCTGGTGGCGAAGCAGGTTCTCCATTACTCGCTCCAGCGGGGTTTCTCTTTGAGGGAGACTGTCCCCGATCCCACGGGATCAGAATTAGATCAATATAGTTGCCAACTCCAACGGCTGCACCGCGACTTGCTTCCCCAAAGGATGACCCTTAAGCGTCCACCCTCGTATGACGGTACAACGCGCTGTGCAAAAACATGTTTGATCGGGCTTGCGCAGTACTGGCGCGCTCTTCGTGAGCACTTTGTGAAAGGCACATCACGGCACATCCCATGTGTTTTTGCTTCGAGTTTATATTCAACCGTTTAAGCAACGGAGGGGCAAGCAAGAATTCACCACATGGATAATACGTTACGAGATCGACACCAGGCGGCCTCACGCGACATGGATGGATCTCCTCCTGGAGTCCGCTACAACGGATGACGATTTCATGCAGCATCGTCACCAGCATGTGATGTGTTCCAACGGGAGAGGTCAGGCAGCACTCTCAAGTGCGAATCCTATACCTAAAGATGCTCCTCAAAGGCATCGTCATCTTCCAATGCTCCTCAGAGCAAGGATCCTAAGCGAAGGAGCCTCCAACACCTCAGGCGTGGCTCCCTCTCAGGAGCAACCACCTCCTGAATAACCGGCACCTACAAGGTCCGCCCGCAGGACAAAATGTTCGCGATCAACGCGCAGCTGCCCGTAAACACCCGTAAACGATCGAAATCTCGACTTCCGCATCTGTGAGCCTGAGAGGTCATGAGCCCAAGAATCCATCCAGGAAAGGTAGGCTTTATACCGGACAGACCTGTGCTGCGCTCCTGACCAGGTATATCCAGACACGACCCTGCAGCTGGGTCATCCACCCCGAGTAGGTGCTCAATTCCAGGAACTATTGGTAGCAGATGTACGTACCACGCAGGAGCCCGCTGCCGATCATAAAGAGATCGGCCTCCCGATCGGCTGAGACAGGCATTTTGTTCGTCTTGCTCACAGGCTGTTGCTTGGCAGGCTTGGAGGCCATGGCGTACTGTAAGCAGTCCGGAACCGGCAACGCGCAGCCCAGAGTCCCGAAAAGAAAACCCCAAGAACACCAAATCCAGCAAGGGGCACCCTGCTGCTGAGCCTTATTCATACATACATACGTACGTACATACATACATACATACCAAGCACGTCTACCTGCATAAGCATGCATAGACTTCGAATCATAAGCGTGCCCGTGCACAAGCACATGCACGAGCAGATGCACACGCCCGTAGTCCCACACGTAGACATACCCGACACACACACACACATGCGCGTACATTTACACATCTACCTGCAGATATAGCGATGGACGGACAGGCAGACAGACTGATATTGAGAGATATGAGACCGGGATCGAATAGCAAATGCCAGCCAGGGAGCCCACCAGGGTGCTGAGTGTCCTCGTGACCACTGCGAAGGATTTGCGCGGCGCTGCAGCCTTGGTACGTATATGGCATTACTTGAACATTCGGCATGGTGAGTGCTTTGGACAAGAAAGCTTACGCACGCACACGTACATACGTACCAATACATGTGTGTCTACGTACGTATGTATCAATGTGTGCGCATGTACGTATGTATGTTTGTATCAACGCTCTACACGCACCCGCCTACTGCATGCAGGCATAAAGTTTTTACATCTTTGTACCCATGCATGTTTTCGCTTCGGTTGCTGGCACAAGTCTCGCGGTGTTTCGGGTATATGTCAAACCTGTACCTATCTTTTCTATCTTATTTCACGAAGCAAAGCTCACGAATGCAGAACAGAGGCAAAACAAAAACAGGAGTTGACGCTGAGCTGAGCCATATTGAGCATTCATCAGACAGTACGCTAAGATGATAGGCATTTCCTATTTTAGGTGGAAGGACCTAGCGTAAACCGCAAAAAACGTGGAAAAGGAGTAAGGACTAAGGACAACTAGTGGGATTCCCTGTACATTGGTCTCAAGGATTGAGGCTATTGGGTTTCCAACGTTTGGGTTTCTGCTGTACCATGATGAACCGAGCCAGCCCCTGTCGTGCAGCCTGGGAGGGATTACCAAAGAACCAGGTCTACTTACAGTGTCGAGATTCTGGGAGTCAACAAAGGTTCAAGCGAAGGCTAGCCTGCCCCTTTGTTTGCTCCCAGCACAAGGCTAGGTTGCAAGATTCAACCGCTCACCGCAAAGATTGAACCCCGATGGCCATCAAAGCGCCCACATCCATACTGCTTCGGCATTGTGCTTATGGCCCTCTGTGTTCATGTCTATGGCAAGCAACCGTGATCTCATCTGTCGTGAAGGACCAGGTTAGAACAATCTTTTCGCCCTCGTCCTCCTGACGGTGGGCAGCCGGCAGTTGTGCGTTCAAAAGCAACACCGAAAACGGCTGGCGTACTTCGAGTCAAGGTTTGAAGCATAAAGCCCCACATCGAGTCCGGCTCCGCCTAGACACTGGTAGAGGGGCGCAGGAAACTCTGGGGCTGTGTAGGCGGCACCACACATAAGGACCTACATACATACATACACATACGTACATACACATATACATACATACATACATACATACATACATACATACCTACATACCTACAGTACGTGCAGACACACACGCACACGCATGGACATGCCAGGTCCTGGAACAGAGGCAAAGCTATGCGGAGCACGAGGCGCTTGAAGCCACCTCAAGACTTGCTTGACAACTTTTCGGTTTTAAGGGATTTGGGCAGCTACACGGTGATCAGAGGAGAGGAACTTTGCCAAATGAGGTTCATTCGTGGGTGCGGAGCAAACAATATTTGCAGGTTTGTTTTGGTCTAGGTTTGTCCGGCCTAGAGCGCCGCTCTCGGCTTGTGCGTTTGCAGAGACGCTGCGAAGCATCTGGGCGACCACATGGACAATAACGTAGCCACAAGCCAAGATGAGACTGAAGAGCAGCATGTAGGCAATCCTTCCAACGCGACTGGTTGGGATTTACTGCACAGCTTCCTGCTTTTATAAAGCATCCTGAATTTCGTGAAAGCAGGTTTTGTTCATAAGTAAGGTAGACATTTTCGCTGAGCTTGTTGCACCTTTCGCTGCAAAGCTCTACGTGTGATGCACTGCTCGACGACGGCAGTTCCGGGCTTGGGTTTCAGTGCTATCAGTCTTGAGTTGCAACAGCTGATGCAAGAAATGGAGGTCCATGCCAAGACTGGAGATCCCATGATGCACATCACAAAACTACTGATATCAGTAGGCTACGCATGCTACGCATGCACGTAACGGGAACGATTGAAAAAAAGGGCCAATAGGGCAGCCAGATGGCTCTGGAAAGGGTTGCCACCCCCCGCCAAACGTGGAAGCCTATGCGAATCGCATGAAAAGCGATTGCAGAACCCCGACTGGAGTGCACCTGCGCGAGCGACCTCCCCGAAAGTTCAAGGACCGACCTCTCCGAAAAGTTTAGTGCGCCACATTCTGTGAGCTGCAGAACCAAGTCGACGAAGAAGAGGAAGACGACGGAACGAGGCAGAGGGAGGAGAGGGAGGAGGAGGGAGGGGGGAGGAGGGTGGTGGAGCAGGGAGAAGGGCCTAGCCAAGAGCAAAGATTACATTCGATGCCTGCCGAGCATTTGCTTTCAGCCTTGTCTGTTGTATCCCCTTTAAAGTCACTCTTACAAGTGTTCGTATCTGCCGCATGAACGAATGAACTCGCTTGAAGAGGTGGATATAATAACACGCATCGACATCGTAAAAACTACATGATGCCGCGAAGAATAAATGCAACACGTACATACTCACCCCACCACACGAAACCCCTGGAACAGTTGGATTTTGCTTGTGTGCCTTCCCTGGATGCCTTCCCTGTCGCAGCAGTCCCGCATCAGAGCTTAAGGGATGCTGGATTGTATATTTAGCGCCCCCCCGTGGAATCTCTCATCTCTCCCAAATACGACCTCGTGACAAAAGCGGTACCATGCCAGATTACATCGCTCAGTCACTCAGGAAGGATGGAACTATTACCAAATCCATCGAGATCCTTGGTGGTTTTCACATTCGCACATGCTCAGTCGTAGCCAGTGCCACATGAGACCGTTGAGGTAGGGATGGAGATAGCTGTCGTATCTTTTTCCCACATGACGCCGAGGGCGGTGTGGTGGACTATTCCATGATATTCATTCCTTACCTGCTACAATATTCCAACCACGCGATGTGCAAAGTGCCCGTGACCCGGTGCTGGGGTGCGTGGCTGAGACAGGAGTGGACCGACTCGGAGTGAACCCGGCAAGCTCCGCAGGCCCTGATTTTGCTGTTGCTGTCCGTGCAACTGCTAATGAATTCTGCACAGCCCTTGGAACTCCAGTAACTAGCCACTCTTAGAATAAATAACCTGTATATAAATCGCTTCGGCCTGTCATCATAGCCTATACTGGCCCCACAGGCAGTCTCACCGGCCTTGACATGATCCCGCTCGCAGGGTTAAGGATCATCAACGCGGCGACTCCACTGAAAAGGAAGAAGCGGACGCATGCCAAAGTCACCTGGGAATCCACGTGTCTAAAAAGACATAGAACAAAGTCATCACTGCATTTGGCGTATCAACAGCCTACGCGGCTTTGAGATCAGAATGTCTGCTTGAAAGCGCAACTCGCCATGTATCCTGCTGCATCTGGCCTCCAGCACATCCAAGATCTCGGCCTGGTCGTTGGCGTAGGGCTTGACCCAGGCGGCCAAAACTGCCTGGCAAACATTTGGAACACAACTTGAAGCTGTCTTCGTGAAGCTGCACTGTGAAAAAGCTAACAGGGCCCAAGGCTTCTCGTGCCACCACGTTTTCGGGACAGGTGAAACCAGTTAGGGGGTTGGCATTTCGTTGAAGCGTGATCAGCGTGGTGGTAAATAGGGTCTCTCATGTGGTCAGCCTCTGTAGCAAAGCTGATACTACAGCTGCTGCTGCTGCTGCTGCTGCTACTACTACTACTACTACTACTACGACTACCACTACCACTACCACTACCACTACTACTACTACTACTACTACTACTACTACTACTACTACTACTACGACGACGACTACGAATATCACTACTACTACCTTACTCTCTTTGTTATTTCCACTGTTCTTACTGTGTTCGTGGATTTTGCCACCATCATCCTAACTACTCCTTGCACCTTGCATGCACTCATTAGTATGTATTTGTTGTTCTTACTGCTGTTCCTCTTTCACTAGAGTTTCGTCTCTTCGGACAATGACGGTGAGCACAGCAGCCAGTATAAACGGAATGAAGTTAGGCAACAGATACTACTAAACACACAGAACGGCACATCAGAAAAGACCCGCCACCGCCACCGCCGCTAGTACCACGACCAAAACCAAGACCAAGACCAAGACCAAGACCTGCCACCACAACAACAACAACAACAGCAACAGCAACAGCAACAGCAACAGCAACAACAACAACAACAACAACAACAACAACAACAACAACAACAACAACAACAACAACAACAACAACACCAACAGCAACAGCAACAGCAACAGCAACAGCAACAGCAACAGCAACAGCAACAGCAACAGCAACAGCAACAACAACAACAACAACAACAACAACAACAACAACAACAACAACAACAACACAATACCCACGCCAACACCCCACCAACGCCCACACCCACGCACTACCCACGCCTACACCGATACCGACACCCACACCGCCACAACAAATAAGACGGACACCACCACCACCACCACCGCCACCACCGCCACCACCACCACCACCACCACCGCAACAAATAAGACGGACACCACCACCACCACCGCCACCACCACCACCACCACCACGACTACCCACCACCACCAACAACACCAACACAGAAACCGACACCACACCAGCACCAGCACCAGCAGCACCAGCAGCACCAGCACCAGCACCAGCAGCGCCAGCACCAGCAGCACCAGCACCAGCAGCACCAGCACCAGCACCACCACCAACAACACCAACACCAACACCAACAACACCAATGCCAACGCCAACCCCGACCCCAGCACCACCACCAACCAGAAAAAACAACCACAACCACAACAACAACCAGAACCAGAACCAGAACCACAACAACAACCACAACAACCACAACAACAACAACAACAACAACAACAACAACAACAACAACAGCAACAGCAACAGCAACAGCAACAACAACAACAACAACAACAACAACAACAACAACAACAACAACAGCAGCGGGAGCAGCAGCAGCAACAACAACAACAACAAGAACTGAAGAATAAGAGGAATCATTATAACAACAACAACGACGACAACAACAACAACAATCATAATAATATTCATAATTGTAATCATAATCGTAATGATAATCACAACAAGACCAACAACTATATCAACCACAACCACAAACAGAACTGGCAACAACCACCACCTCAACAACCACAACACCACCAACCACCACCACCGACAACAAGAACAACAACAACAACAAACAACAAACAGCAAACAACAAACAACAAACAACAAACAACAAACAACAAACAACAAACAACAAACAACAAACAACAAACATCAAACATCAAACAACAAACAACAAACAACAAACAACAAACAACAAACAACAAACAACAAACAACAAACAACAAACAACAAACAACAAACAACAAACAAACAAACAACAAACAAACAACAAACAAACAAACAACCAACAACCAAACAACCAACAACCAACAACCAACAACCAACAACCAACAACCAACAACCAACACCCAACACCCAACAACCAACACCCAACAACCAACAACCAACACCCAACACCCAACAACCAACACCCAACAACCAAAACACCCAACAACCAACCACAACAACCAACAACCAAAACACCCAACAACCAACCACAACAACCAACAACCAACCACAACAACCAACAACCAACCACAACAACCAACAACCAACCACAACAACCAACAACCAACCACAACAACCAACAACCAACCACAACAACCAACAACCAACCACAACAACCA